TCAACGAGGTGTCTTTTGGAAAAGTCGCTGTACGGGATTCCGTCTACCTGAGGGGGCGAGCGAGCCTGCCACCCTCACATGGTGGCTTGGCCTCATTTTGAAAGGACCACGACAGGTCTTGACTTCGATACCTGCGAAGGAAGCACGACAAGAGAGGAGGAAAGGGTCTGCGGAGCCAAAGAATAACGAGAAGATCCCTCACTTTCGGTCTGGTCTTGTCCACCTCCTGCGGCAGCCATTTTCCACAGCTTTCATTTTTATTTATTTATTTTATTTAAGTATTCTATTTATATCCCGCCTATTTGGTCTTACGGCCACTCTCTCTCTCTTCTTGTGGTCTCCAAACACATTACCTCATACAATCCTAGAATCATGGGGTTGGAAGGGGGCCTCGAATCCAAACACATTACCTCATACAATCCTAGATTCATGGAGTGGGGGCCTCGAAGGCCAATAAGTCCATCCCCCTCCCTCGAGGCAGGAATCCGAATCGAAGCATATCGGACAGAAGTCAAGGCAGGAATCCGAATCGAAGCAGATCGGACAGAAAGTTGCACCATGTTCTCTTGAAGGCCTCCGGCGCTGGAGGGCTCACCCCCTCCCGAGGTCCTTGGTTCCATCGTCGTACTGCTCTAACAGTTAGGAAGTTTTTCCTGATATCGGGGGCTACTGACCCTTATCCCCAGGGTAAGTAACCCTCAACAGACATTTTTCTTTGGGGGAAAAAATGGTTGCCCACTCCAACCTACACAAATATCCCCCCCCCCGGGTATAGTCAAGGATGGGGAAACAGTGGGGCAAGAAAAGGCCCAGTCCATGAGATTTCTACCCATGTCTGAACCTGAACTAGGAGCGGAGTGGAGCCTTATCTCACAGGGTGAAAGTCCTGAAACTTTTTGAGCACCAAGGATTTATCACGTCATCTGCCAACTTCCTCTGTCTTCTCTGTTCCCCGTGAGCTCAAGAGAGAAATGACTTTTCCAAGATATCATTGCAAGCTATGTATTGCTGTGGTCAGGGAAGAGATCTGAGAGGTCTTCAGTCATGAATTGGCAATGAAGAGCCATTAGCTTTAGAAAAGACCAGCACCTACCTTGTTCATAGGGGCTGATCCAGTGGCCTATATTTTTTTTGAATATGGCCTATATTTTTGAATATTTCTCCTTAGGAGAAAGGAGATGATGCCTAAATAGGAGGAAGAGCTTCCTGACAGAAAGAACTGTTTGATGTTGGGAATCAATATTCAGAGGGTGCCAAAATCTAGAGGAAAATCAAATGGCGAGGGTTAGGAAAATAAACCATAATGCCTCCTGGGAATCAATATTCAGAGGGTGCCAAAATTTAGAGGAAAATCAACTGGCGAGGGTTAGGAAAATAAACCCTAATGCCTCCTATTTTTATTCTCTTTCTCTCTCTGAAAGCACAAACTAGAAAATAAACCATAATGCCTCCTATTTTTATTCTCTCTCTCTCTCTCTCTCAAAGCACAAACTTTATTTCTTTTATACTGCCTCCTGAGTGGGTGGGTGCCCATTGCCCCAGGTGCCAAGAGAGCAAACGACGGCTCTGTCTCTCCGGGATGCTTGAATGATGATGGCCTTCCTGGACCACCAAGAGGTTAATGAAATCTATTCCCCTCTATTAGCCACTAGTTAGGGCTCGTCTAGTGTCCAGTTCCGGCCACCACCCTTCAAGAAGGAAGCTGACAAATTGGAAAAAGTTCAGAGGAGGGCAACCAGGGGATGATCAGGGGACTGGAAACCAAGCTTTATGAGGAAAGGCGGGAAGAACATGTCCTCCAGGCCTCTTTAGCCTTGAGAAAAGAAGACGGAGGGGGAGACAGGAGAGCCCTTTTTCAAAGACTTGAAAGGTAGTCCTGTAGAGAGGAGGGGCAGGATCTGTTCTCCATCATCCCAAAGGGCAAGACCTGTAAAAAACGGGCTCAAGGGACAAGAAGGCAGATGTCGGCTGAATATTAGGAAAAAAAATGTCTCTTGACTGTTAGAGCAGTACGACGACGGAACTCATTCAACTTTAAATAGTGTACTTCACATAAATGAATGAATGAATGAATGAATGAATGAATGAATGAATGAATGACCTTGACAGGTGGCAGTGAGTGCTTCCAGACTGGAGCCATTCAAGAGAAACTGGCAGATCTCTCCGGACTCAAGTTTCCTGCCCTGAGCAGAGGGGGCTGGACTGGATGGCCTTAGAGGCCCCTTTCCAACTTCACGATTCTATGATTTTATGACCCTGGGGAGCGCAGGGGGATGATGGTAGTGGTGGTCCCTTCCTGCTGCACATCCCAAAAGGCTGTTATTCAACCCTCCCTGCCCCCCTCTGCCAGCCTCAAATCCCTCCAAGCTTCTGCCTTGGGCCTTCAGGCCCCTCCGCCACCCCTCCCAACAAGAGGCCTCCTTGAATAAAAATGCAAAAAATATTTAAATTATTATCATTTATTATACCTATATCCCGCCCATCTAGTCGTTGACTACTCTGGCCGGCTTGCAACAAGTAGAATAAAACAGTTACAATTTAACAAACGGTTACAGCATTAGACAATCATTCAAGATGGAAGGGGGGGAAATTAAATTAAATAATGTAATTTTTTTTAAAAAATTAAACAATTAATTT